ATATATATATATATATAATAAAGGAGATGACAAAAAGAGTTTGAAATAAAGTTTAATAAGAGGATATGATTCACAAAAACTCTTGGGGTAGAGGATGACACATTTCTACAACATGAAAACGAACTAATGAAATGCTAAAATCAATGACTAAACAAAATCATTACAAAATGAAAGCACTAACATTAGTCCTAAAAATATATACTAGGAGGAGACACAACAGGGCATGTTAGAACAATATAATTAAGATTGTGTAGGTATAATGATTAGCAAAATTTTGGACGCTTCCTCTTTCTTGTATTTTTATTACTTGACCTTCTTTGAGTTTTTCTTATTAAATCCTTACTAATCAACTTCACATTAATCAAACTCTTTTGTTAGTACTCCTTAAATAAGATCATTTCTCAAATAGATGATATATGCTCACTAAATAGAATATTCTTACATCATCAATTATGTGGACTTGTCCACCTTTGTATTGTAGTGTTGAGTCTCATCCAAATGTCACCATCACTATGAATATTTTAACAAAAAAGTTATTCATACAAATATTATAATAAACTATGAATTGCATAAGTAAATAATTGAAAACAAAATAAACTATGATGGTCCTTACATAACCCCAATTGATAAAAGAAGTTAAAATTTGTAGAAAAAAATTTCCATCACAAAAATTTAGAATCTTAAGGTCCTACATGACACAAAATTGAAAGAGAAAAAATTGCAAAAACTAACCATATATATGAAGTAAGTAGAATCTCATGGTCCCTACATGTTCCCCAATTGGAAAACATTTAAAAGAGTCAAAAACGAGAACAAAACACATTATCTAGATTCCAGTAAAGTCTTGAAATGTTGTTTCAAATTCGCCTTTAAAAGTTGTTTTCTTCTTACATGATATTTTTGCAGTATATAAATGCATGACATTTTTGTATAAGATAAATGCTAACAATATATTTTTCTTGGAAAATTCTAAAATGAAGCACCACTAATGTGCTTCGTGAGGTAGGAAGTTTTGTAAGTTTAAATTTTTTGTTAGGTGGTACATGAATGAAGTATAAATCAGAATCATTGGATATATAAATAAATAATTGGATGATTGAGATTGTTTGTGTTTAATTTACAATTTTATCCTTATTTAAAAAATTGTTAACAATATTATTAATTATTATCCTTGACGACATTGTTGTCGCTGACCATTCAAATTCCTTAGGGCATCTCCAATGAAAAGCAACTCAAACACAAATTTACTCTAATGGTAAATTTTTTTAAGAAATTTAACTTTTAGAATTTTTTTTCCTAATCATTTATGAACCAAATTTAATTTTTTATTAAAAAGGATAATTGCACTACAATGAAAGAAAATAAATTACGAGAAAAAAATACACAATAAGTATATATTAAAAATAAAATAAAGCAATAGTAAATACATAAATACTATACAAAATTATTTTTTATCATTATTATTTCTGAAATGTTCCCAAATATGTTCAATAAGGAATGGTTGCTTCAGGAAGCAACTCTCTCTTTTCTTCAAGCAACTCATGTTGTCACGTCAGAGTCCTCCAATGGCAAAAAACCGAGGCTTGAGTTGCTCATGGGACAAACAACTCTCATTGGAGTTGCTCTAATATGCCTTCTTCTAGTTCTCCAATGGACTTTTTTTTAATATACTATTTTTTTATATTTATTTAAATAACCTAGGCCCATTATTATTTACGTAAATAACCCATTTTTGAGGCTTAGGTGAGAAATCGGTTACTGGGTAACCGATTTCTCAAAGGTTTTTTTTTAAAAAAAATTAAAAAACCCTTTGAGAAATCGGTTACCCAGTAACCGATTTCTCTATTGGTTTTTTTTCTTTGTTTTTTTGGTTTTTTTTTCATTTTTTGTTTTTTTTCCATATTTTTATATTTATTTTTTTGTTTTTCAATTTTTAATTTTCAGATTTTTAAAATAATTATACTCTTTTTTTAAAAAATTATTTAGTTAAGTTTTTAGAATAAAATTAAATAATTAAATAAAAGACAATATTTTTATATAAAATAATAGAAAACAAAGTACAACATTTGGAATTACAAAACATTTTAAGCTTATTAACTTGAACTCCCTTGACGGTAAGAACATTTCTTCTTGGAGTGACCTACATTCCTGTAGAGAGAACATCTTTTTGGTTGTCCTGGTTGAACCATATCCATTTTAGTGCGTATTCTGGATGAATTTGGACGACCTTTTTTATTTCTAATTTTTTCCGAATTTGGTATGATTTGCGGTTCTTCACAATCCGGCCAATAAGATTCATTGGGCAGTTTACCAAATAATTCATTATACACATTTGAAACATACTCTAATGTGTATACCTGATCTATTTAATATTTAGAATTGTTGTTAACATTCTTACATGCAGCAACAACATGGGAGCATGGCATGTGTACCTTCTGGAATTTCCCATAGTCACACCACTTGTCATGTAGTCTAACCATGAAATTTCCAGTAGGTCGTGTTTCCCTTGGGTTAATGGTCTTTTACACCAGAAAATGTGTACTGTGACGATCAAATTCGAGAACATGATGACTATTAGCCTTTAATTCTGCATCTCTCATGGCCCTATTGATTATTTCAGTATAAACTTGGTCAGCCCTAAGTTTAGCATCGACTTCTTTCCCCCTTTGGATGAATAAGGCATTACATCTCTTATAAGTCGACATGATAATTGCAGAAATTGGCAAATTTCTTATTTTTTTAAGAATGGAGTTAATTGCCTCAGCCAAGTTGGTAGTCATGTGTCCCATCGTCGACCACCGTCCCATGCAAGAGTCCATTATTCTTTTGGTATGGTGTTGAGCCATTCAATTACACCTTCAATTTCTGGTTCGCTCCTTAGTGTGTTGTAGTAGTAATTGAATCTTGGTTCAGTCATCCCATAAGCTGTGAAATGAGATTAGCAAAAAATGAACAATTTAGTATTGTTGAAATATGGTCAAACAAATAAAAGTAATTAATGTTAAGAAGTACATACCCATATTGATGATTAATTTTTTTCGTTCTGCATTCTTGAAATACCTCATGAAGTTTTGGGCAATATGGTGAATACAGAACACATGCACTGAATTCTCGGGTGTCCAACCACTACCTTGTCTAGCCTAGGCATTTTTGATGGACTCATGCCTGTCGGAAACTAAGCGAAGGCTATCTTGAGGGCAAACATGTCTTTTGAGATAATGTAGAAAGAAAAACCATGCATCTGTTGTTTCACCCTCAACAATTGCAAAGGCAATTAGAAAGATTTTTTTGTTACCGTCTTGAGCCACGACCACAAGGAGAGTTCCTTTGTATTTTCCATACAAGAATGTGCCATCAACTTGAACAATGGGCTTGCAGTATTTGAACCCATCGATACAAGGTTTAAATGTCCAAAATACTTTATGGAATTGAACATAATCATGAACCATCTCACCTTGTTGGTTGTATAGTGGCCTTGTTTGTTTCTCAACAACAAATCCATTAAGAAATCCACTCATGACATTGAGCAACTTGGGTAAATCATGGTAAGATTGTTCCTAGTTGCCATGTAAGTCTTCAATTACCTTTTGCTTTGCCATCCACGCTTTGTGGTATGAGATTGTGTAGCCTTCAGCACTTTTGATGTGTGCTATTATTGTTGGAATTGAAATTGATGGATCACTCTCCACCAA